ACCTTTTTCTACAAATGCTATTTCAAATAGCAAGATGATATATTATTGATCATTTGATATGACCAGATTGCATTGCTTTGATATATATGCTTGTTGAGTACGTTGTAGTCACTCTTGTATATTAACTCTCCCTCTTCAGAGGATCCCCAAGAATGTGCACAAGGATCTCTAGATGATGGTTATGCCTATATGTAGATTGGGATGATGACTATGAGGAAGCTAGTTGAGTTGTTGCCACCTCCTATGGTGGATGGGATGAATGAATAATCCGCTTAGATAAGTTATGTATGTCAGGGGAGACGTGCCTTTATCGCTCACCTAGTAATCTAGTTTGGACTTCTATACGAAGGGCTTGTAATAATGCGCAAACATGTGACGCTTATTTAAAGACTTAAGTTCGTAGAATGGTATTGTACTAATTATTGGCACTCTCTAGCTATTCTCTGTTGCCAACTTTGTTATGGTTTATTATTTGACAATCTTGTATTTGTTGAGTAATAAATCATAGACCAGGGTTATTATGTAGAGTGTTAATGACTCATGTCGTCACAAGGTTGAAATGGAGAAAGGTCCACAAGAAAAAGTTCACAGATCAACAACAGTACAATTTCTATGAGCTAATGGATATGATCAAAACAGAAGCTGATCATATGTTTTAGACAATAGTATATTCAGTTAACAAGTCATTTAGTTACCAAGTCATCTAGTCAGAACATTCTAATTGCAGCCTTGGTGAGTTATTAAACCATACTTTGACAAGGACACAATAACTTAGAAGAACATATTGGCATACCCAAGTTTGTCAACCAGAGAATGCCTATCAGATCTAGTGCTTGTACAGAAGCTATAATTTAGAGTATATAGAAGGGCAGAGACATAAGAGCTAGTCACAGAAACAGTCTTGCACTTGACCATACAAATATATAGCTTATTGATGAATCCAGAATTATTTCTCCTAAAATCAGAAGTAAAATAGACAAAGGATGCAGTTCTGATGCAGCTAGGATCAAGAACAATTAGTTATTTTTTATGAAATTGGAGAGGCTCAGGGGGCCCTACAGGCATTTATTAGTAAAAAGAAGCACAGTACATAATTACAATTAGTTATATTCACTGATCACAATGATAAAGTTCTGGAGGCAAGGATCAACTTTTTAGGAACACATATTATTTATAGTGAAGATGCAGTGCAGATTATAAAGAAAAATATAGAGTTGCAGTCATGTTCTGAGAATGCACATCCAGGTTAATTAGAGGTGATATATCCACTAGACGCGCCCACCAATTGGGTAGATAAGCTAAAGTACCCATACATCATAATGACAGATAAGTTAAGTAGCTCCGTATACAGGTGGCGTCCAGTAGGCTGGGTGGAGGGTAGGCTGGTGGAGGGGCAATGAGGGTGCGAGGGAGTCATACTGTGTTTGTAAGTCGACCTGCTAGGTTGATATTACCAAGTGCCATATCTACCAAAGGGCAAAGGCTGGAATACACATGTTTTCTCCTAGTAGCAAGTGGGAGTTTGCCTGTACTCTCTTCGTTTTTATTTACATGTCGCATTAGGGTCTTATTTGATACCTCTCCGATTTATAATAATCAAATCATGTAGTCAAATTTTGATCCAAACAGGATGGATTATTATAATCAAAACTCTTGATTACTAAAATCCCATATATAATACATGTGACACCAAGTTATAGGTGATTATGGATGCTGAAAGTCTAACTTGCCCCTAACTGATTGTCTAATTTGCCAAACTACAAAGGATATGATAGGAATTTCTCACTTTAACCAACCATAACCAATCACCATAATCCATTAACCCAAACACTCTGATTAATCAGGTTGTGATCCAAACAGCTCCTAGGTTTATCCAAAGTCAAACATTTTTATCTTTGACCATCAATTTTTTTTTTTTTAAAACTACATATAGAGATTAATAACACAAAATTTATGTTTTTAGATTTACTATGAAAAATACTTTCGTAATATACAAGGTTGTAAAAACCCATAAAGATTTTTTTGAAATGAATGATCAAAGAAAGTAATATTTGACTTAGGACAAACCTAACATTACACGTGAAAAAAATCGGAGTACACTGTACACAACACTACGGCTGCTCAAAGTACAACGTCCCAGATCCAGTGTGATCTAGTCCATATGGATAGCGATGCCCGGAGACTCGGGCTGCTCTCCTGCTCTAATGGATCGCGATTCCGGGCGTTGAAAAAGCAAGCTTTTATGATGTGAGTATAGTAATATATATAATGATAATGATATATAAAAGCCGTCCAGGTTTGCTCGGCGCTGCAAAAACCGAGCAGAAAAGAAAAGCAGCGTGCACCGGCAACGAGTGAGTTCGTTGCTCACTTTCACTACGGGACTCAGTGAATTTGCCGAGTGCCAGGGGCACTCGGCAAAGCCCAATTTACACTCGGCAAAGGCTTTGCCGAGTGCTGCACTCGGCAAAAAAAGAGTCGGCAAAGACGTCTTTGTCGAGTGTCTTTTATCGGGCACTCGGCAAAGTCTTTGCCGAGTGCCGACACTCGGCAAAGTTGGAACCGAAAAAAAACCCGAAAAAATTGGGAATTTTTACCCAAAAAAAATGGAATTTTTTTAATTGGTGGAGGCCCCCACCGGTCAGCGCCCATCCATCTCCGGCTTTTTTCGCGTAAATTTCACGGCTACGCGGCCGACGGGATTCGAACCCAAGACCTCTCGCTGCGCACAAACCTCCTCTACCACTACACCACACTGTCACTTGTGTCTAGATTCCGTTTTAGTTCCCAATATATTATACTAAACCGAGTGTAAATTGCTTATTTGAGGCCCTAAATGAATTCAAATCAAAAAGTGGTCAACTATAAAGTTTCATAACTTTTTGAGATCTACAATTTTCATTTAGTAAGTTTTTCCATCCGAGGTCGTTTGAAAAATTTGAATTTTAAATTTGAGAGATTCAAACGTAGTTTTGCATGATAAGATGATTTCAAATCAAAAAGTTGTCAACTACATAGTTTCATAACTTTTGGAGATCTACAATTTTCATTTAGGAAGTTTTTTCATCCGAGGTCGTTTGAAAAATTCAAATTTTCAAATTCAAACGTCGTTTTTGCATGAAAAATGATTTCAAATCAAAATGTTGCCAACTACAAAATTTCATAACTTCTCAAGATCTACAAAGTTTATTTTGGTCATTTGTTCATCCGACATAGTGGTAGTAACATTGTTCACAAATCATATATATCTCTCTTCTATTTTCATGAAATTAATATGAGAGATGTATATTTTATGAACAACGTTATTGTCGCTTTGTCATATAAAGAAATGACCAAAATAAACTTTGTAGATCTTGAAAAGTTATACAACTTTGTAGTTGAAAAGTTTTTCATTTGAATTCATTTAGGGCCTCAAAAATTGATTCGAAAAACTGATTTGCCGAGGGCCAAAAAAATACACACGGCAAAATACCTATTTGTCGAGTGCCAAAACATAGGCACTCGGCAAAATACGGCTTTGCCGAGTGCTAGAAAAAAAGCACTCGGCAAATTGAGAGTAAATTGCTTGTTTGAGGCCCTAAATGAATTCAAATCAAAAAGTGGTCAACTATAAAGTTTCATAACTTTTTGAGATCTACAATTTTTATTTAGTAAGTTTTTCCATCCGAGGTCGTTTGAAAAATTTGAATTTTAAATTTAAGAGATTCAAACATAGTTTTGCATGATAAGATGATTTCAAATCAAAAAGTTATCAACTACATAGTTTCATAACTTTTGGAGATCTACAATTTTCATTTAGGAAGTTTTTTCATCCGAGGTCGTTTGAAAAATTCAAATTTTAAAATTTTCAAATTCAAACGTCGTTTTTGCATGACAAGATGATTTCAAATCAAAATGTTGCCAACTACAAAATTTCATAACTTATCAAGATCTACAAAGTTTATTTTGGTCATTTGTTCATCCGACATAGTGGTAGTAACATTGTTCACAAATCTTATATATGTATCTTCTACTTTCATGAAACTAATATGAGAGATATGATGTAGATTTTATGAACAACGTTATTGTCGCTTTGTCAAATGAAGAAATGACCAAAATAAACTTTGTAGATCTTGAGAAGTTATACAACTTTGTAATTGAAAAGTTTTTCATTTGAATTCATTTAGAGCCTCAAAAATTGCTTCGAAAAAATGATTTGCCGAGGGCAAAAAAAAATGCACACGGCAAAAAGCTTCTTTGCCGAGTGCCAAAACAAAGGCACTCGGCAAAATACATCTTTGCCGAGTGCCAGAAAAAAACACTCGGCAAAGACGTATTTTGCCGTGTGTTTTTGTTTGCCGAGTGTATTTTATTTGGCACTCGGCAAACACGGTCTTTGCCGAGTGCCCGATAAAATACACTCGGCAAAGCCTCGGCACTCGGCAAATCGCCCGTTTCCGGTAGTGAATTTCTTGGGTTGTGTAAGTTTAATACACCTTGTTCCTTTTTTTAAAAAAAAATATTCCGGCATGTTTGTGATGATATGTATTCCCTTTACGTTTTGCAGATAGATAGATATTTAGGTGGTGTTTGGATCCAGTGACTAAAATTTAGGAGGTATGTCGAGAGGATGTTACATGGGGTATTCAGATACTGATAAAAAAACAAATTACATAATCCGTCAATACTCTACGAGACGAATTTTTTAAGACTAATTAATCCGTCATTAACACATGTTACTTTAGCACCATATTGTCAAATAATAAACTAATTAGGTTTAAAATATTCGTCTCGCAAATTAGTCGCAAACTATGTAATTAGTTTCGTAATTAGTCTATATTTAATACTCCATGTATGTGTCAAACATTCGATGGGACAACGATTAAAATTTAGAAGAGGCAACCAAACACCACCTTAGTTGGTCTCATTAAAACTGTGCCAAGGCTGAAGCATCATCATATTTATTGAGGATTGATTCAGAGGAGAGCAGCGGGTCGTCAAGCTAAGCGTGAATAATCACCATGCTTGTCTCCTTGGCCCTGTTGTTGTTCTTGTTGTGCCATGGAACCGGCAAAGTCGACGGCCACAGCAGTGACATGCTCGCGCTGCTCCATTTCAAGATGCCCATCATCGCCGCCGCCAGTGATCCGAACGGAGCCCTGAAGTCGTGGAACGAGAAGCACCCCGTTTTGCCGGTGGGACGGCGTTTTCTGCACCCGGAAGCACCCCAGGCGTGTGATAGCGCTGGTCCTTAGCGGCCAAGGTTTGTCAGGCCCTATCTCCCCCTACGTTGGAAACCTAACGCTGCTTAGAGAGCTCACTCTCTCCAACAACAGTCTGTCTGGCCCGTTGCCTCCTCTGAACCGTCTCCACAGACTAGAGGTTGGTTCTTGATCTAGGCTACAACTCATTGCATGACACGATCCCAGATGTGGTAGCAAATTGTTCTAATTTAAGGACGATAGACCTCTACCATAACAACCTAGTTGGTGAAATCCCCCTCAAACTGGGTCTCCTTTCCAATCTTGTGGTCTTACGGCTTTCACGGAACAGGCTGTCAGGAATGGTACCCCGAACCATCAGCAACACCAGTCATATAGAGAAGATCGCTCTGTCATATAATCAGCTGACGGGAAACATTCCTGGCGAGCTGGGGCAATTGCTGGATTTGTCCTACTTAGCCCTCGGTGGGAATAACCTGTCCGGTGGCATACCACACTCTCTTCTTAACAAGTCATCTCTTCAGGTACTCGCCATGGAAAGCAATAGGGTGGGAGGGACGCTGCCGCCTAGCATTGGCGATGCCCTCCCTGATCTCCAAATGCTTGTCCTGGGACGGAACCTGCTTCGAGGTTACATCCCAGCATCCCTAGGCAATGCTTCCAATCTAATGTTAGTAGATTTGTCATCTAACAATTTCGCTGGTACGGTTGGAGAATGGATCCGGAAGCTGATGAACCTAACATATCTGCATCTCAATGACAACAACCTTATGGGCCAAATCCTCTCCTCTGTTACTAATAATACTCAGCTGACATTGCTAAATCTGAAGAATAACTACTTCGTTGGGTCAATCCCCTCCTCTGTTAGCAATCGTAGTCAGTTGAGCTTCCTATCTCTTGCTAACAACAGCTTCACCGGGTCAATCCCGTCCTCTATTAGCAATCTTAGTCAGCTGAGTACACTATCTCTAGCCAACAACTTCCAAGGTATCGTACCTTAAACTGATGCTTCTGCTGGTCTAACACGAAGCGAGCCTTCATAAGGGTCCAATATGTCAGAATACGTACTGAACTAGTGATGGCCCACATTCAGCTTCGGTTTATGTCACACTTCTGCCTAGTACACGATTGGATTTTTTTTTAGGCAATATATACAAGTCGTATGTACGTGAAGTCGTATGCGTATGCCAAGCATATGTAAACAACGACAAAGGCACTCAAAGAAACCCGGCGAGTATTTGTCGTGGCTACTATATATATGTAGTGCTAGTGTGTGTACCAAGGGAGGAGCTCTCTATCCGTTTGTGCACTGTGTATCCATACGGTGTATACGTACGTGTAATAATGTACTTAAAAATTGGGACCCGGAGCCAGTGCACCGGCTACCGAAGAGAGACATGTATTAACTAAATTATATTCCATTTCTTTCTCCCTTACAACATTTTCTTTTTTAGCAAATTTACTACATTTTCCTCTACTTTTATCCTGTGATTCTTCTCGTTATCTAGTTTATCTCGTCGGATCCTACTCGGGTCCTGAAAATGCTGACAACATTGACTTGTAGGCTTGGAGCTGCATGAGAAACATAACAGAACACCTGCACCACTGTCAGCCACTGAGATTTCTAGCCTGGAGTGTTTTTCTGATTGCAATTCAACAGACTCACGATACCAGTTTTTATTGTATACTCGATACCATTGATCTCTCGTCTCATGGTATACTCAACTAAATGTACTTAACTTAAGCAAGCAAATATCGGGAACAAGCACTACTCATGGATTTGTGGAGACATCTACATTCCTTTCACAATCGTCTGAGAAAGAGAATCGTCTCTAAACAAGAAGTGGACCAGGCGACCAGCAAACAAAACACCCTAAAAACGGTTTTTTTTAGACGGTACATAAGGGGAGCTATCTCAAGAAATCCTCTATTTTAGAGACCCTTTTTTTACAATCTGCAACTACAAATTAATTTTTAGAGACTGTTTGTAAGCACCTCATATGAAGTCATCTAGATCTCAGCAGTTGATAACTTTCTATTCAAGTTCGTTCAGGATCCAAATATCCACAAGCCCAAAAAACGCCGCTTGATGTCACCGACGAGAACACAATAGATGTACGCGTCTAAAATTTGCTTACAGCCCGGCTTATTATAAAAGCTAGGGTTGATCCAGAGAACACGGTAGATGTAGCACGTCTCTCATACTTTTGTCCTCACTTATTATAAAAGGGTTGATCCATAGATGTTGCATTTAGAGCGACAAGGATTATAAACTAACCCTTATCTCCTAAATTTTTAAGATGATACTAAATTCACCAATTACAACGACATATGAGCCAACTGTTGAATATTTAGTCATTTTACGGCATTCTTTAATCTAGAAATAAGACATTATTACATACATCATGACACATATGAACATGAGCAATCCACTAATCGCATATGCAGATATGCTACTGGACCATGTAATAGCAGATTCTAACAACGGATCCATGGCATATATAACAAATATGCGCTAGAGATAAGCTTAGTTTGTACCCTTGAGTGGACCGAGACAGGGGGAACACTATTACCATCATCAGACTTAGTCATGATGGCCTGCTTGAAGTAGTCGATCTAGGCACGACGCGGGAATATGTATGCAGTGCAGTCCCACGAGTGGTCGCTAGAAGTAGCCGAAGTAGTTGTTCGCTCGAGGAAGCCCATAGTAGCTAGATCGACTCATCGAGAATGAATGAAGAGCGGTCGCGTAGATGCGCTCCCCAAAAACTTATCGCCCACCTACTCGTGTAGGTACACAAGCGGACAAAGCTTGGGAACTCAGGCCGGAGATTGCAGTGCTGCCTTTAAGCAGCCTCTACACACAGGGGGATGAACCTGGACTGATTTGCGGAGAGTTAGAGTGGTAACTTCGCGTCTAGACTGCTTGTGACAGGCTCACATGACTTTACTCATTTTTCCTTCTACATCCACCTATTTATCCGTTATATGCCCCTAACTGACCATTGTACTTAGCCGTAAAAGATGACTCAACACATCACATCGGCGCCCACCCATTTATCCATTATATGCTCCTAACTGACCGTAGCTCTGAGCCACAAAAGATGGCTCAGCACATCACGGTCGCCAAGGCCGTGGCATAGCACAGCGCCGCGTGCCTGTGGCCTCCTAACTCTCCTCCTCAACTTGTCTATATTAGCACACACTAGCTTCCCATTTAAGTTGAGCACCTTCTTAATGGGTATATTATGTGTGTAATCTCACTTCCACTTAACACTTAAGCCCCGTTCGCTTCGCTGAAAAAATAAGCCGAAACACTGTTCCGGCTGATTTGTTGTGAGAGAAAAACACTGTTCCAGCTGAAAAAATAAGCTGAAAAGTACGGATTATAAGAGAAACGAACATGGCCTTATTGTAGGCCTTTAGAATTCTTTGATTAATTACTAGACTAGTTATGCAAGCCCAATTAATCCAGCACCAAATACTGTAGACTACTAATAGACCAGATATTATTGGGCTCAGTAGGGTTTTACAACTGAGGGTACCTTTCCAATCGCTCTTTTTATTTCCTGCTATATTAGTTTATTCTAGGTCGCTTACCACTAAATTGGTGGTTTATAATCAGTGCTACGGGGATGTTCTTGTAGCTGTGTCGTGTAACTTTTTTTCTCTTAACCAAATATGTGCTAAGACACGTGTGTGGAAAAAAATCACATTTGAGCACAGCAGTCAGAATTCGGCAAGCCGCAACTCCCTAGTAACTTATCTGAAATCAAGTTCCACCTGTCGCCTGTCTGAGGCTACACTGTGCAAAGTTCAGAAGTCGTCCCTGACCTGATGCTGGCATATGAGGTGAATGCAAACGACCCTGTCAATTCAATTTCTGTTTCTTATTCCGGTGGCATTGCCGCGGGGTTGAAGCCGTGGCAAGCATTGTTGTTTGAGTCGGTGCCAGAGTACGTCTCCGGTGGTTCGAGTGGACTTAAGAACACAAGAATCACAGAGAAGACGCAACAGTTTATCCTGGTTCAGGCTGATCGATGCCCTACGTTCAGCAGCCGATGATCCTTATACTCAAGAGATTTGGTAGGGGGTTAGCTCGGTGCTAATCCTGAGGTTGCCACCGGTGGAGCCTTCCCCTCGTCGGAGAGGAGGAAGACGACGGGTGCGGTGGAGGAGCTCTCGGTGCCCCTCTCTGAGTTGCTCCGGTCTCGGTGCCAAGTAGGAGCGAATCGATGAGGAATGGAATGATCTGTCTTGGATCGTCCTCCCCCCTCTAGGATCCGACCTTATCCCTTATATATCGAGATAGGTCAGGTATATAGTGGTTTGGGGGGTTGAGCCTATGATCTACATGCACCGGAGTGCAGGAGGGTCTTGCAGCAGCGCTATGTGAACTGTGGCGGTGTCGTGGAGCCGAAGAAGCGCTGGGCGTCGTCCGGTTAGCCTGTTCTGACATACTGAGTGTCAGGCTGTGTCGGCTTGGACCGCCCCCCCCCCCTCCGCCCAGGTGCACCTTCTGGAGTCTTCTTGGTGGCGAGGGAGGTCACCTCAAGAGGCTGACGTGCGGATCCGAAAGCCCCCGAGCCCCCGGAGAACGAGGAGAGATTGTCTTCTTGTGTCATGCCCCTTGCGTGACCCTGTCGGAGGAGCGGCTGACAGCGCTGCGCCCAAAGTGCAGCTAGCGTCGGGGAGCCCCCGAGCCTCGATGGCTCGGAGCTTGTCTTCTAGTGCCCGGGCCTTGGCTGGCGTGGTAGGCCGAGCAAGAGCCAAGGACCGGGCTCAGGCGTGTTGTCGATCGGGAGCTTGAGGCCCGGGCGAGCCCCCGAGCCTTGAGTAGAGGCCACGGCGTGCTCAAGCTCGGCCGGGTTTCTTGGTCTGGGGGTGCGTGCGAGCGTACACGATGAGTATAGCCTCCGAGCTCCCAGGCGATCCTGGAAAGATCGGTCCGAGGGTCTTTTTGGTCGGGAACCATTAACCCCGAGACTTAACATACCCATATGTTAGGATCTCGTCTGGCATCAACACACTCTGCTTGCCCGTCACCATGACTTCAGTACTTCACTAACGCTGGAGACTGAATTGAGCCTTTTTTTGTCAGCTCATGTGGCCATTACTGAAGATTGGAGCCAGGTCGCTCCGAGACTGGCTGAGGATTTACATTGGTTGGAAATATGAACGCTAGTCAGTTCGATAGGAGACAATGCTCTGCGAGGCTGGCATTCATACAGAGCTTCTAAAACAGCGCTGAACCGGTGTAAGTGGACAAGAAGATGTTCCATTTCCTATTCTCAATTTTTTTAACGTGGTTGTTTCTGTTGTTTTGAGTTCTCCCAGTTGTAGTTTCTGTTGTTTACTTCGTCCAAGGCCGTTGTTTGTTCAATTTGGGCCTGCTTCTTTATCTTCTATCTTCTGTATCTAAATAGGAGAACTCCACTACAAGATTTTTCTAGCCTCTCATGCAGCCACGTCATCATCATGCCTCACAAGCCCACAGCCGCACAAAAACTGCAGTCTCCCACTAAGCCTCATTCATTCATTGCTAACCAGAATTTATATTATAGGAAGCATTTGAGGGTCCATCAATCTCCCTCCACGCACGTGCACTTCTGTGCCTCCACTTAGCGCTTCGCCTCCCGCCTTTTGCACTCCCCAACTCGCCATTGCATGCTCCCATTAAACAGATTTCAAGATGACATTTTGCTTATAGTGGCCATTTTTCTGAGATCCTCTGCCTATTTGACACACATTCCTGCCCATGCTCTACTCTCACTTCGATTTGATCCTGATTGACTGCTGCCTTGGTGCCTCCTGCCCTCCTCATGGATTATTACTGCACCGGCAACCTCTGCTCAATCCGACAGCTACTGCAGCCCAACAGATGATTCACCAAGGATGACGCAGCTAGGTGCCTAGGTCCAGGTAACGACTCATCATCTCATTCGATCTCATCACTTCAACAGTGAGCAAGGAAGGAGAACGATCAATTTCCAAGAATCTT